GGAGTTGCGGGTCGGGTGGGGGCGATCGGGTCGCCCCGCGGCCCGTTTAGGTCTCTAAGGTTCGGGGTATTTCGGGCTTCGATTTTTCATCGTAAGGCCACGAGACGGACTCGAATGAAAATTGCCACTTAGGCAAATTGCGGTTCTCTGATGATGGAAATCGTTCCCAATTTTTCATCCGGGCGTTTCCCATGCGAATGCCAAGAGATTCGAGTCGGTTGGCCCCGATTAGGGCGTGAACGTATCGCCGGTAACGGCTCGTTCTTGCCCGATGCAGCTCTTTTTTTTTTTCGCAGGGCATGCCCGACATATTGCAGGCGATTATTAGAGGATGCGATGTTTCGAAGTTCTCTGAATATTTACATTTTGCGTTACTATGCTTTTTGTCATCAGAGGGAAATTCTCGACTCGCATTTTCCTCTCTCGCAGACATCTACTTCAACATCACGATGCGGCGGAAGACGCTGTTCTACACGGTGAACCTGATCATCCCGAGCGTGGGGATCTCCTACCTGTCGGTGCTGGTGTTCTACCTGCCCGCGGATTCGGGGGAGAAGGTGGTGCTGTGCATCTCGGTGCTGCTGTCGCAGACGATCTACTTCCTGTTCATCTCGGAGATCACGCCGCCCACGTCGTTCGCGTTGCCGCTGCTGGGGCGGTACCTGCTGTTCACCATGCTCATGGTGGCCCTGTCGGTCCTGCTCACCGTCCTCATACTCAACATCCACTACCGGAAGCCGTCCACGCACAGGATGGCGCCGTGGGTGAGACACTGGTTCGTGCACGTCTTCCCGAAGATGCTCTTCATGAGGGTCCCGACGCATCTCAACGACACGCCGCTGTACGTCAAGTTCGGGAGGAACGACGTGCAGGACGGGATGGCGAGAGGGAAGAAGGGCTGGGAGATCCCGCCGCCTCCTCCGCCGCCGGGGACGAGGCGCACCCTGCCCATGATGGACGACGACATCCTCCCTCCGCCCTCCCTCGCGATGGAGCTCGCGGACGAGGAGAGGAGGTACCCCGCCGAGATCGAACGGGCCATCCGGAACATCCGATTCATCCAGAGGCATCAGCTCGCCGAGGATGCCTTCCGAGCCGTGAGTCCGTCGCTATCGAGGGAAACGGGAGGTGAAAGGGATGAAGGGAGGGGTGAAGGGAGGGATGAAGGGAGGGATGAAGGGAACCGAAATCCGATCCTCTCGTGCGTATCGGCCTTCGTCTCCGTAAAAATCGGAGTTTCGATCTGGAGTTCATTCGATTTACTGTCTCTAATTGCATCGAGCCGAGTTTTATTAGTACTTGCGAACACGATAGCCCACGAAGAAGGGTTCCTTGATTGGCACCGCCGCGAAAGCCTCCCTAATTAAATTCCCGAATGATTTCGTTTCGCCTCGTCCCTCCCTCGTCCTTCCGACGTTTCCCTTCCGGATCCGGCTGCGGGGATCGCCGCGTTCGCGTTTCTCGTTTAAACGCGTGCGAATGCCGATTGCGATGCGCAGGAAGACGAGGACTGGGCGTTCGTCGCGATGGTGCTGGACCGGTTCTTCCTCTACGTCTTCGTGATCGTCTCCCTCGTGGGGACGTTCGGGATCCTCCTCGACTCCCCGGCCCTCTACGACGACACGAAGCCGATCGACCTCCAGATGTCGACCATCTACCAGCGCGGACTGGGTCGTCGGACCGAAGAATTTTGAGGGCGTTTGGGGGACATTCGGAGACATTCGGGGACATTCGGAGACTTTCGGGGACATTCGGAGACTTTCGGGGACATTCGGGGACATTCGGGGACATTTGAGCTGTTTCTACCTCTCGCTGTTTCTTTCCCCACGTGTAACAGATCTTCCACGATTCTTGATTTCTTTTTAAATTCTGAGAATGCATGACGTGGAGAATCATCGTGCCTCGATTCCGCGTGCTTCCATCCCCTGAGTTCGCGAGAGTTCGCGAGCGGATGGAGGCGACGGCGGGCGGCGAGGCGTTCATTTTCCACGGGCGATTGGTATATGATACGACATGCTCAAATTTATCAGTGTTTATCGAACTTGTTGGATCATTTGAATATGTTTTCTGGTAATAAAATCTCTGGATTGGAATATACCGACCGCCGTTTCGATCGCAACGGATCGCGACGAACGAGACCGGATCGCGACGAACGAGACCGGATCGCGACGAACGAGACCGGATCGCGACGAACGAGACCGGATTGCGACGAAGTTATTAAAAACGGCAGATAAATGGCACTAGCGGAGGGGGGGGGGGAGGAATTTGGGGGATGAGGGGACGCAGATGGGGGCAGCCGACAACGGAGAATAAACGGGCTTCTCTCGCGGTGCATCAGCTGGCAGCCCGGACCGGAGTCACCGACGCCGGGAGACCAAGTCCAAACAGACCGGGCGGAATCGGCATCGACTCGTGCATCCGAATGCGTGTCGGCCGAGTCCACGTCCGACCGATGCGGATCGGCAGCGACGAGACGAACGATCGCCTCGAACGGACGACCAGGAGGGCGACGAAAACCGACGTGATTCGCGTTCGACCGAGCGACCAGGACTCCACCAAACGACTGGCGAATTTAGTCGGTGAGACGACGATCGTGACAGAATTTAAATCAGCCGACAAAATTAAGAGGGGGGTGCACGGTTTGCAGAAGGACCGCACAGAGGAGGGCATCCTCGAGGAAGTCGGGGGAGGAGGATGGCGTCGGAGGAGGAGGAGAAGAAGGACCGAGGTAATGGGACCCTCGCGCTACGTGATGGCGACATTTGTCCCTAAGTGGAAGCATTTCATTAGTGGCCTGTCCTCCGCCCCCCCTGCGACAGTTGGCCGTGGCGGCACGAGACTCTCTCATGGCGTCGCAATTTCGACAGCGGGTCCGACGCGCGGAAGCCTCCTCGCCCCCGCCATCTTCCCCAGGAGGCTGGGAGATGGCTCGTCGAGAAGCTTCCTCTTCCGCGACGAAGATAAACATTTCAAGGTGCCCTTTCCGCACTCTTTCGACGACTGAAGGTCTCACCCCCCCCCCCCGAATGCAATTTCGTCCCATCCTGGTCTTCATCCTGGTCTTCATCCTGGTCCATGGACGGATCGACGCTGGGAATGGCCAGAAGAGAAGGAAAGATTCATCGGTCAGCGGAATCGTGACCGATTAATTACCGAACTGCGAAGGAGAGAACGGCTGCAGTCGGATTCGATCCGGCTTGGGCAGAACGAGGAGGGGTTACCGGGGTTTAACCCGAAGGTGATGCGACGGTTAAAGGATGGTTTTAAAAAAATCTATCGAGGATTCGGTCCGACGCGACATCATCGCTCAAAATTAATTAATCGCCGTCTCGGACGAGCCAGGGATCGGAATCGCCTGGTCCACCGAGCCGCTTTCGTTCCCCGAGACGAAAACGAGCGACGAAAGATTGTGGGATTCGGGATCGCGGGACTGTGGGATTGTGGGACTGTGGGGTCCGTCGGGATCATCCCAGAGTCTCACCGTCGGTTTGGCACACTGTGTCGATCGTGGAAATAAGTCAAGCGTCACGCCCTCCCACTCCTTTGGTAATTTCCATTTCCGTGATTTTCCTTCGGATTCGCCCCGCTTTCGAGAGGCAAAAGGAGCGACGTCGCTCGTGCAACTGCGCGTGCTCCGAGTCTCGCCCGTGCAACTGCGCATGCTCCGAGTCAGCCAGACTCTCCTTTTTCAAGCGATACTACCCTTTTCCGTTGCTCTCGCCAGTCCGACCATCCTTTTCCGTTGCTCTCGCCAGTCCGACCATCCTTTTCCGTTGCTCTCGCCAGTCCAATCTGCCAAGAAAGTCCAGGGATTACTCTGACAGCTGGCGTCGATAAAAAAAAAAAGTTGGAGCGATTGGAAAAGAGGGATTACATCCACATCTTGATGAGTAGTACTCTCTCCCTCTCTCGGATAACTCTCGGATTAACAAATATTAGATTAACAACTCTGTCTTCCGTGATGAACGTTCTGGAGCCGCATTAAATATTCTCGGATGTCCCTCGAACGACCTGGATCGTGTTGAGGATTTTTATCAAATATCTTATGCATATTTAATGAATTTTAACATTTAATTTTTTTTCACCTAGTATATAGTTTCAGGACATCCAGACGAATTCACCGCCCGTCACAGTTCACGTTAAAAAAAAATTGTCCACGTCTCACACCATCGACAGACGGCACGCACAGACAGACGGCACGCCGAACGCGAACCGGACACGATGATGAAGCTTGCCGTTGGGGATTCCGCCTCAGCCACGCCCAGCCGACGACCCGGGATTCTCCTCCCAAAGGAGACGCGAAATCAGCAGGGAAACGAGAACGTGTGTTGTTTGCACACGGCGAACGACCCCGCAAATCCGGTGGATTCGCTGATTCCGACGATGGAAGAATTCGCTCGGTTCGGCGGTTATCGGGTCAAAGGTCATCGGCATGCGATGCGAGGGCGAAAGGTCATTGCGAGAAATTTTGCTGCCGGTTGAATGGCCGTCTTAGGTGATCCGATCCTGTTCTGGAACGAAACGCATGGAACAAACTTGCGTTTGCGCAAAGATTCAAAACAGACGAATTTGCACTAACCTGTGAGCGATTTAAAGAAGCGAAGGAGTCTCTCGGCGGGTCGGGTCAAAGCATGCAAACAGATTGTCGACCTGTCTCAAGTTGGGGTTTAACTGCGTGGAAGTGGAGGATGAAAGATTGGCATCTCCATGCACCACATCCAGTTCCATGCACCACATCCAGTTCCATGCACCACATCCAGTTCCATGCACCACATCCAGTTCCAGCTCCCCTCTTAAAGGCCCAAGGCCCATACAGTCGTTTTACTCGGTAGGCTGAGTGGGTTGGGATTTTTTTTTTCATTTGGGAAATGCTATCCCTAGCAAGAATTGTTTAACCTGCTCGCTGTCACCCCCGACTTTTGCAAAGGAATCCATTCGGTTTCGGCCTAATTTTGCAGTGCGCTCTCTTCTAATCCCAAGGCCCATTTGCTTTCGGAAGTCGCGACGGGTATCGTCTGATGCGTTTTGGGGGCCTTCGAGCGAATCGGAGACGATAAACGAGATTAACGAGACCCCGGTGGAGATCCGATGAAGCGCCGGGAAGTCGTGGAACGAGTCGGCGGCGAATTTCCGCGAGAGGCGAAAATCCCGCGCGCGCCTCCCTCTGCTGCGGCCGCGAGGAACCGAGGGACGAAGGGAAGGAGGACTCGGCGAGGGCCGAACGAAAGGGACGAAACGGGGGAGGCCCGAAGGATCCCGAGACGATATACCATCTTCCTCTTATTGCTTCTCGTTCCGTTCCGGATTCCACGGGATCCACTGCGACCACGGGACGCGGCAGGATATCCGCATCTCTCGTTCCCATCGGGGAGGAAACGCTGCGTGCTGTCTCGAGGAACGAAACGGGATTCCCCTCACCGATCGAGCCCCGGTCGAGCCCCGGTCGAGCCCCGATCGAGCCCTGATCGAACCCCGATCGAGCCCCGATCGAACCCCGATCGAACCCCTTTTCCTAACTTCTCCGATCCAACGTGAGGCTTCGTCGAGCATCGGATCCCATGCGAGCCCTATGCACCGGTAAATCGCTTCCGACACGACTCGGGAAGGAAATCTCGCGGAACTCAGATTTTCCCCGACGATAGAAACTGGACGCTGGGCATTTTCGCGTCGAACTTCGGGACGCGAAACGTCTCGTTTTCCACAACGTTCCCGAACGAGTCTCTCGTCTCGTCGTCGTCGAGGACTTTTCGTCGATCGGTGCGATCGAGGTTCCCGCCTTCGATCTGGGGCCAACCGGCGGAGAACCGAGGATGAAGATGAACGAGGTCTTACCGGATCTGGGGTTGGGAATGGATGAAATGGGACGAAATGGGATGAAGGATTCGAGGCTGCCTGTGAGACATTCCGCAGCCGAACCTTCAAAGACACTCTTTCAACGAAGAAGGAATACGTGGAAGGAAATTTCGCGGGAATTTTCGCGGGAAATTTGGCATCTCCAGGATTTTTCCCGCGTTGAATCTGCAGATGCTCTACGGTGAAGTCTCTCGCAGGGAAGCCCGCCTTCGTCGATCGAGGCGTGGGAATCCAATTGAGAAATGCCATCGGCGTCCGAAAAATCGTCATTGAATCGTCGTCTTAATCCCACCCACGATTGAGATCACCCTGGGAGCAAAAAATAATAATAATAATAATAATAATAAATAAGAGTATTTACTGGAAATGCATTCCGCCACACGCGATTCGAAGTGCGAGCCTCGCCGTCTCGTTTCTTCAAGAGACTTTCCTAATTCCTGTTAGAATTCTTCCTTAAGAAGACCTCCGGCAGACACTGATGTCTAGGACCAACAAACTTGACTTGATGAAATTATTTGCTCTCTTTTTCGGCACAAAGGCCTTCCCCTCACCCCTTCCAGATTTTCTCACTAACGTTATTCCTCGGCCTACCTCTTATCAGAGACGGATGTGAGCGCGCGCCGCGATAATTCACTTAATCGATCGGTAATCGAATTTGCGACGGAGAGAATGTTCCTCGCTCGTCTTTCCGCGACGAGAGCATGAAGCCGACCGGGGTCGGTTGACTTTTATGTCGCCGGGCCGACTCGATGGCGCGAAACGACTTCATTCCCGGACTGGTTTATGGCGTCACAGCTGTCGCACGAAATACGATCGGGTGACGTCATCGAGAGCCTCGTTCCGCAGCTGTCCACGCGCGATGGCGCTGCGTTGTAATATGAGGATCTGTAGCGGAAGGGATCCATTAATCTTGTTTTGACTGGAGAAAAA